TATTCTATCCAACTGTCTGACCACAGGCCAGAACTTGTGGACTGATTTTTATTTTAGAAAAGAGGGTAACACAAAGCCACGGGTGGGACAGTAAGGAAGGAAACCAGGGCTGTCTCTTTGGATCTAGATGGCCCCATGCCCACCCCGAGGAGCTCCAACTGGGAGATGATGATGCCGATGATATGGTGATACTGACAGCAGCTGTCACTCAAAGGACGTAAGGCCTGCCCGCCACGCAGTAGGGCTTTGTGTGCGTTGTCTCATAATCCTAGAGAAGTGTAGGCTCGGAAGTCTTTTTTTTTTTTTTTTTGAGACAGTTTTGCTCTTGTTGCCCAGGCTGGAGTGCAATGGCGCGATCTCGGCTCACCACAATCTCCACCTCCCGAGTTCAGGCGATTCTCCTGCCTCAGCTTCCCAACTAGCTGGGATTACAGGCATGCACCCCCATACCTGGCTAATTTTGTATTTTTAGTAGAGACGGTGTTTCTCCATGTTGGTTAGGCTGGTCTTGAACTCCCGACCTCAGGTGATCTGCCTACTTCGGCCTCCCAAAGTGCTGGGATTACAGGCATGAGCCACCATGCCTGGCCGAAAGTCTTTTTTTTTTTGAGACGGAGTCTCGCTGCCGCCAAGCTGGAGTGCAGTGGCTTGATCTTGGTTCACCGCAACCCTGCTCCACCTCCAGGGTTCAAGCAATTCTCCTGCCTCAGCCTCCCGAGTAGCTGGGACTACAGATGTGCACCACCATGCCCAGCTAATGTTTGTATTTTTAGTACAGACGGGGTTTCACCATGTTGGCCAGGATGATCTCGATCTCTTGACATCATGATCCACCCACCTCGGCCTCCCAAAGTGTTGGGATTATAGGCGTGAGTCACCGCGCCTGGCGGGAAGTCTTAATCCTGCAGTCTCTGTGCCTCCCCTGTGCCTCAGTTTCCTTATGTGTAAAAGCAGAATAATGCCTTCCTCATAGTCTGCTGTGAAGATGCAAAAAGTTTCTCGACATACAGCAGTCATTCAACTAATATTGGTTATTATTAATTTTCACAATTACCCAGAGAGGTGGGGCCTATAATCATTCCCATTTTACAGACAAAGGAGCTTTCACACAGCCAGAAAGGAGCCGAGCTAGAACTCAAGCTCTTCTGTCTATGGAGAACAGGCTCTCTCCACCACTAGATGAGAGATGGCAAAGATTATTGGTTACATGCACAAACGTTACAGCCAAATGGGTGAGTCAAACTTCCAGCTCAGCCACAGACTGGCTGTGTGGACAGAAGCGAGCTGCTCCACCTCTCAGTACCTTGGTTTGCTCACCTGCAAAATGGATGTCTCTGGCCAGGCACAGTGACTCACGCCTGTAATTCCAGCACTTTAGGAAACCAAGGTTGGAAGACTGCTTGGGCCCACGAGCTCAAGACTAGCCTGAGCAATGGGGCAAAACCTCGACTCTACAAAAAATTAGCTGTGCATGCTGGGCTCGGTGGTTCATGCCTATAATCCCAGCACTTTGGGAGACTGAGGCAGGAGGATCACGAGGTCAGGAGTTTGAGACCATACTGGCCAACATGGTGAAACCCTGTCTCTACTAAAGATATAAAAAATTAGCTGGGCATGGTGGCCGGTGCCTGTAGTCCCAGCTACTAGGGAGGCTGAGGCAGGAGAATCGCTTGAACCCGGGAGGCAGAGATTGCAGTGAGCCGAGATCACACCACTGCACTCCAGCCTGGGTGACAGAGTGAGACTCCATCTCAAAAAAAAAAAAAAAAAAAAAAATTAGCTGAGCATGGTAGCACCATACCTGTGGTCCCAGCTACCCAGGAGGCTGAGACAGGGGATCACCTCTGCCTGGCAAAGGAAGGTGAGGCTGCAGTGAGCTGAGATCACACCACTGCACTCTAGCCTGGGTGACAGAGTGAGACCCTGTCTCAGAAAAATCAGGGTGTCCTTGCTCATTCTGGGCTCTGACTCTGTGTCCCTGGAGGTCCAGCAGCTCTGTGCCTCTCTAAAGGTCTGAGCGGGCAGCAAGCAGATCTAGGCCAATGATGGAGGTACCAGCAACCCTCTCTTCTCCCTTCCTTCCAGAGATAACCCCTCACCCCTCACCTCAGAAGCAGCTGTCCTGGGGAATTTCACCCTGGCAGGAGAACTGGTCAGGCCACTGAGTGCAAATAGTTTCAGAGAGGTGGGGCTCTCGAGGCCCCTTCCGGGAGATGACACAGGTGTCATGGCCTTTGAAGGGTACAAAAGGCCATGCCACATTAGTTACCCTGCTGGCTCACAGGGCTGTTGGCCTGGCCCTCTGCTCTGCACACACAGGGCCCTCGCTCTCAAAGGGAAAGAACAGTCAGGAAGGAGAAAGAGATGGAAGGAATCTCCTTACAGGCCAAGGGGCTTTGAGGTTGTCTCACTGGTAGAAGTCTCTCTTATGGGACGGGTTGGGAGTATGCCCCAGAGGTGGCAGCCTGCACATTCTGACCAGAGCCTGGACAAGACAGAAGAGCACTTTTTTTTTTTTTTTTTTTTTTTTTTTTTGTGATGGAGTCTTGCTCTGTTGCCCAGGCTGGAGTGCAATGGCACAACCTCGGCTTACTGCAACTTCCGCCTCCCAGGTTCAAGCTATTCTCCTGTCTCAGCCTCCTGAGTAGCCGGGATTACAGGTGCATGCCACCATGCCCGTATGATTTTTGTATTTTTAGTAGAGATGGGGTTTCATCATGATGGTCAGGCTGGTCTCGAACTCCTGACCTCCAGTGATCCATCTGCCCCAGCCTCCCAAAGTGCTGGGATTGCACATGTGAGCCATGGTGCCCAGCCCAGAAGAGCACATTTTATGGGGGCTTTGCTGGGTTAACAGCTGTTCTTGGCTGGGCGCGGTGGCTCACGCCTGTAATCCCATCACTTTGGGAGGCCAAGGTGGGTGGATCATGAAGTCAAGAGTTCGAGACCAATCTGGCCAACATAGTGAAACCCCGTCTCCACTAAAAATACAAAAAATTAGCCGGCTGTGGTGGCAGGCGCTTGTAGTCCCAACTACTTGGGAGGCTGAGACAGGAGAATCGCTTGAACCCCGGAGGCAGAGGTTGTAGTGAGCAGAGATTGCTACTGCACTCCAGCCTGGGAAACAGAGTGAAATTCTGTCTCAAAAAAAAAAAAAAAAAAAAAAAAAAGCTGTTCTCTGGGCCCTGGTATGTACACAGATGGGGATGGTTTGTGAGCAGAGGCCCCTTGATGGTCAGCACCTGAAGAACCCGGCTATGCTCTTCACTCAATCCAGCCGCCCCTGGGGCGACACACTGGGCAACAGCCCCACCTGGTGGACGATCGGGGAACTACCATGGGCCGGGGAGTATGGGTGAGCAAAGGATGACAGAAGAGGGAAGCAGGAGAATAATCACAGCAGGAGTTTAAGGGCGAAGGAGCTTTGAGGTAGTCTTGCTGGCAGAAGCCCCTCTTACAGCATCAGCCCTAAGGCCTCATCTGTTAGAAAGGTCTTACGTTTTTTGAAAATCTGCCTCCACCAGTCCCCCTCCCCTCTACTTCAAGGTTGCCAAAGGTTGCCAGGGCAACCTTTAAAATATTAGCGTACGGCTGCAGCGTCCCTCCTAAATCGTCCCCTTTGCTGCAACCTTCCAGAGTGTGACCTCAGCCTCCCACCTCCTGCATCTTTTTTTCACCTGGCGATCTTTTTTTTTTTTTAGACGGAACCTTGCTCTGTTGCCCAGGGTGGAGTGCAAGGGCACGATCTCTGCTCACTGCAACCTCTGCCTCCTGGGTTCAAGCTATTCTCCTGTCTCAGCCTCCCGAGTAGCTGGGACTACAGGTGCCTGCCACCATGCCCGGTTAATTTTTGTATTTTTAGTAGAGATGGGGGTTTCACCATGCTGGCCAGGCTGGTCTCGAACTCTTGACCTCCAGTGATCCAACCGCCTCAGTCTCCCAAAGTGCTGGGATTACAGGCATGAGCCACCGCGCCCAGCCCAGAAAAGCACATTTTATGGGGGCTTTGCTGGGTCAAAAGCTGTTTCCTGGGCCCTGGTGTGTAAACAGATGGGGATGGGGTGGGAGCAGAGGCCACTTGAAACCAGACAGCGCCTGAAGAACCAGGCAAGTCTTCACCCAATCCAGCAGCCCCTGGGGCGACACACTGGGCAACAGCTCCACCTGGTGGACGACTGGGGAACTATCATGGGCCGGGGAGAAAGGGAGAGCAAAGGATGACAGAAGAGGGAAGTGCGGGGCGTCACAGCAGGGGTTACAGGCGAAGGGGCTTTGAGGTCTTCTCGCTGGCAGAAGCCCCTATTACAGCATCAGCTCTAGGCCCCATTTGTTAGAAAGGTATTACGTTTTTGAAAATCTGCCTCCACCAGTTCCCCTACCCACTACTTGAAGGCTTGCCAGGGCTACCTTTAAAATAATACAGCTGCAGCACTCCTCCTAAATCTTCCCCTTGCTGTAACCTTCCAGAGTGTGACCTTGACCTCTCATCTCCTGCATCTTTCTTTCACTTGGCTATCCTTTCTTTTTCTTTCCGTTTTTTTTTTTTTTTTTAAGACGGAGTCTCGCTCTGTCGCCAAGCTGGAGTTCAGTGGCGCGATCTCGGCTCATTGCAACCTCCGCCTCCCGGGTTCAAGAGACTCTCCTGCCTCAGCCTCCCAAGGAGCTGGGATTACAGGCGTGCGCCACCGCACCCAGCCTGGTTATCCTTTCTTTTTTATTCTATTATTATTATTTTGTAGAGACGGGGCTTCTCCATGTTGGTCAGGCTGGTCTAGAATGGCTATCCTTTCTTAAATACATTAACTTCCAAGGAATCCCTTCCAGTTCTATCCCCCTCCCATACTAGCAGCAGTATTTTAAAAATACCTTTAGATCAGCCGGGCATGGTGGCTCACACCTGTAATCCCAGCACTTTGGGAGGCAGAGGAGGGTAAATCCCCTGAGGTCAGGATTTCGAGACCAGCATGACCAACATGGAGAAACCCCATCTCTTAAAAAAAAAAAAAAAAAGAAAGAAAGAAAGAAAAAAACATTATAAAAAAAAGAAAAAAAATACCTTTAGATCTCAGCCTCCCTGTTGCTCAGTGTTTGATATGTTAGGGAAGTCAATGGTCAGGCTAATTCATGAGTAAAGAGCCTAGACTATGAAATCAGACAGATCCTTGTTCAACTCCAGGCTCTGACACTTACTAGCTAAATTACTTTGAGCAAGTGTGCCTTCCTGAGCCTCAGTTTCCTATCTGCAAATTGGAGATAGAGGTGCTTACTACCTGGAGTTGCAGTGCATAAATATTAAATGAGACAGTGCAGGTAAAACACTTAGGGACAGCTCCTGCAACGCCGTTCAGCTCCTAAGTGGCCATTACAGCAACATTCCTCTGAGTTTAAAGATTGTAGGGAATGCTTTGGGAAACAGAAAAGTGAAGAGGCCAAAGAAGGAGAGAGAGGGGCTTTCTGGAATTAGCCTTTCTCAACCAGCACAAATCCCAGGTGAAATCCAACAGATGGGTAACTTGTTCCAATCCCATTTCTTTCTTCTTCTTCTTCTTTTTTTTTTTTTTTTTAACATAAACTCAAGATTTTATTGTCTTCCTAAAAGAAAAGAAGACACTTAGAACTGGATCACTTGGCCCTTTCTCTTCTTATCTCCTCCCAGTTCAAAATGCTTGCATCTCTTAATGGCCGACATTCTCTTAGATCTGCAGTTTGGCTCACGGCACTCAAGCCTTAGCACAATCTTCTTTGTAGTTTCAGTCTTCTTCCAGAAAATCGGCTTAGTCTGCCCACCATAGCCACTCTGCTTCCTGTCATAACGCCGCTTTCCCTGGGCATACAGAGAATCCTTGCCCTTCTTGTACGGTGTGACTTTGTAGGGCTGGTGCTTGCCACACTTCTTACAGGAAGTTCGGCAGGTTTTAGGAATGTTCACCATGTTTGCGTGAGTGCTATCGGCATGGAAAGAAAAAGCTCTTTTTTTCTTTTGAGACAGAGTCTTGCTCTGTCACCCAGGCTGGAGTACAGTGGCACGATCTTAGCTCACTGCAATCTCTGCCTGCCGGGTTCAAGCAATTCTCCTGCCTCAACCTCTCAAGTAGCTGGGATTACAGGTGTGTGCTACACCTGGCTAATTTTTATATTTTTAGTAGAGACGGGCTTTCACCATGTTGGTCAGGCTGGTCTTGAACTCCTGACCTCGTGATCTGTCCGCCTTGGCCTCCCAAAGTGTGGGGATTACAGGCGTGACTCACCCTCCTATCCCACTTCTAGTGGTGTCTGTTGTCATCCCTAGAAAGGGGCAGGCCTTGACACCTCTCTGAAACTTGAGGATTTAAAATTTAAATGTCTTTGAGGGCAAGATAAACACACCTACTGCTCAGCAGGGTAAGGGAAACTTGGCAGGCGCCCCAAAACTTTCCCCACCCCCAACCCTCCCCAAACTTCCTCTTGTGGTTTTTCAAGAGTACAACCTGTTCTCAGCCTAGCCAGTACCTGGGGCAGGGGGCCAGGGTGTGCTGAGGGCTCTGCTGCACTCCACCCTACCAGCGAGTGAGGGAGGAAGGTGCGTGGGAGAGGAGCAGCCTGGAGGTTTACAGTTCTGAAGGTTCACATCCTGCTTACCTGTTTTCTCAGTGCGGCCACCCTCTACCCAGTTTCCACCCTTGACTTCCAGCATCAGTACCCATGCCCCCAGCACACACCCCTTTCTCAAAGACAGATGCTTGAAGGGCTTTGACTGCAGGCAGAGAGGGATCGCCTCAAGGCCTCCCCAGACCTGTGGGGAGGGCGCCGGTAAGAAATTTAAAAGCATTTCAGGAAGGAGGGGGAAAAGGGGCTGGCTGGCATGTATGGAAACTGTCCTGTGGCCTCATTATCCAGCCTGTCTGGAGGGATGGGGCAGTATACACGGATGCAGCTTGGGAAGCAGGAGCTGTGGGAAAGAGAGGTGGGAGGATCTTAAGCTCGCACTCACTCCTTGGCCATCTTCCTTACTCAGCCGCCAAGCTGGAATGCACATCTAGAATGTGAGCATCTCTGCTCTTCTTAATTCCCAACAAAAGAGGTGTCTTGGTTTCCCATATCCACAGATTCTGCCACGTCGCATCCATGTTGAGAAGTTCTTTCTTGAATATAATATTAGTTCATTCCTCCTGGTTTATTCACATTCCCCCTTTCCCTCTGAGTGACGCTTACACAGGGGAAAATATGCACACACACACACACACACACACACACACACACACACACACACACACACACAGAGCCATCAGGGAGGGATACCAGCTCTGTGCAGTTCCCACAACCCTATTCCAGGCCTGCTGGGCTCACTGCAAACAGTACCAGCATCAAAGCTGAGCTAACAGATGGCTGTATCATCCAAGATAAAGGACCACAGACTCCCTTTAGGAAACTCCTACGTTCCTGACTCAAGTGCACCTTGTATGTGATCAGTCGATGAGGCAGGCTAGCCTAATGGTTAAGAATAAAGCCTCCCTCCCTGTCAGGCTGGGTGGCTCACTCCTGTAATCCCAGCACTTTGGGAGGCCGAGGCGGGGAGTGGGGGGAGGATCACCTCATGTCAAGAGTTCGAGACCAGCCTGGCCAACATGGTAAAACCCTGCCTCTACTGAAAATACAAAAATTAGCTGGGTGTGGTAGTGAGCTCCTGTAGTCCCAGCTACTTGGGAGGCTGAGGTAGGAGAATCACTTGAACCCGGGAGGAGGAGGTTCAAGTGATTCTCCTACCTCAGGAGGTTCAAGCTTCCTCCCGAGAGGAGCGATCTCACTCACTGCAACCTCCGCCTCCTGGATTAAAGCCATTCTCCTTCCTCAGTCTCCCAAGTAGCTGGGATTACAGGCACCTGCCATCACGCCCAGCTATTTGTTTTTTGTATTTTTAGTAGAGATGGGGTTTTACCATGTTGGCCAGGCATTGGCCAGGCTGGTCTTGAACTCCTAACCTCAGGTGATCCACCCGCCTTGGCTTCCCAGAGTGCTGGAATTACAGGCGCGAGCCACCGTGCCCGGCCGATTTCTTGACTCTTACTACACGTCAGGCACTGTAACATGCCCTTTCTGTGTATCATCTCATCTTTCCCCCAGTTTTACAGAAGAGGAAACTGAGGCACACTGAGGATTAGGTCAAGTGCCCAAAGTCCCACAGCTGCCTAGTGTTAGGATCGAAGTCCAGCATCTGAGTCCTGACAGGTACCTTAAATGGGGACGAATACGGTGCAGCCAGAGTGGCTCACAAGTGAGGGAGAAAACCACTGGCAGCCACGGGCACCCCACGCCCTGAGAGTGATTTGGCAGGGCATAGACTAGGACTGGCATAGACTAGAACTCTGCTGGAATTATCAGAGACGCTTTCCATTTTAAGTTCCAGGGGGAAGAAACTCTGATTTGTTTACCATGACATCCCCAACAGCTGTGGGAATAGCCTGTGCAGACGGAGCATGGCCACAGCAAATAGGTGCTGAATGAATTCACAAGTCAGTGTGTCAGTCATTTCCCAAAGGAGCCCCAGAATTGAACGGACGGAAGAATCTGTGAGGAAGGAATGGGAGATCCACTTCTCCAACCATGTCCGGTCCCAAAGAGAAATGAGGTGGTGGGCAGAGGGCAAGGACTTGTCAGAGGAAATAGTCTCAGAGTCTAGGGATGGAGAGGAGGTACCTAGGATTTTGTGGACTGTCACGTCACCCCCAGGCAGACCCAGAAGGGAATTCCTGGGTTCTTGGGACCTAGCCCAGAAAATTGTCTTTTCTGGAATTCATCCTGTTCATTCCCTTCATGCTTAGACAGTGGATTAAAGAGAGCAGGAATTGTTTCTGGGTCGCCACTTTATCCAAATGTCAAACACCACAGCTTGGGTTCAGTCCAGCTCTGTGGAATAAGTGCCCCCAAAGACTTCCATGCTTTTCATCCTTCTGAATCCAACTCAAATGTCCTTTTCTCTCTAAAGCCTCCCCAGCCACCCCAGCCAGTGTACTTGGCACTTATGTCTGTTGTTCTGTGAGCCACATTAGCTGTGGATCAATAACCTCATTGCATCCTCAGCATCCCATATAATGCCAGGCACATAGTAGGTGTTCAATCAACACAAATTAGTAGCTTAAGGCTCCCTTAGTCACAGCAACCAGTTTCTTCAGTTATTCCAATTGTTGACACTTCAAGAAACAGAGGAGGCTAAGACCACCACGTATGTACCAATCAGACACCACTGCGGGGGCGGGGGGTACTTCCCTCCAGTCTCATCCCGGTGCACTGGCCAGAGCACCCACAGACTCCCCCTTCCACATTGGTCTGCCCTCCTACTGGCGTCCCACCCTATCTTTGAGGTATGAGAAGAGCAACAGCCGGTTAAAGCCACGGGGCTTCCAGGTCAGCTGGAGGGGGCTGTGCGGCCTTTGGGGGTTTCCCTGCCTTCCAACTCCGTGCAGAACACCTCACTCTGTGGGAAAGTGAGCCAAACTTTGGAGGGGATGAGGACGCGGCGAACCCATAACCCAGCCAGCTCCGATCCCCAACGCGTGGTCTCCAGCCAGAGCTGACATACCATCTACCCCGGTTTCTCCAGCCCCCAAGCCTACCTCCTCAGCAGGTGAGCTCTCCGGAGCACCGATAGGGGCCGCAGACGCTCTCTCCTGCCGCCTCCGACGCCTGCCTTTGGGGAGTGGGATTGTCACAACCATCCGCCGCGAGGAGGGGATTGCATCTCCCCCACAGGCGTCCGAACAGAGCCTGTCTCCACTCCTGCAGGGGCGACTGGTTTACGCGAAGTCCGCGCCTTGCCGCCGATCCCGAGCTGGGCAGGAAGTGGGGAAGAGGGGGCGGAGGACACAAAGGGGCTGGTGCTCAGCTCAGCCAAGGTTCAGTCCCCGGCCCGCCCCAATCCCCGCCGCCAGGAGGCTCATCAGGCGCCGCGCACCCCGGCCCGCAGCCCCCGCCCCACGCGGCCTAGGTAAGGGGGCGGGGCGCCACGGAGGCTCAGGTGTGGGTGGTGGGACCAGCTCGGCGCGGGTTCTCAGACGGCTACCTCCCAGCGTTCGGGACTCCTTGTAATGACCAAGAAGTAAACAACATCCTGATGCGCAATTTCTTTTTCTTTTTTCTTTTCTTTTCTTTTTTTTTTTTTTGAGAAGGAGTCTCGCTCTGTTGCCCAGGCTGGAGAGCAGTGGCGCGATCTCGGTTCATTGCAACCTCCGCCTCCCGGGTTCAAGCGATTCTCCTGCCTCAGCCCCCCGAGTAGCTGGGACTACAGATGCCCACCACCACGCCCGGCTAATTTTTATATTTTTAGTAGAGACAGGGTTTCACCGTGTTGGCCAGGCTGGTCTCGAACTTCTGGCGTTGTGATCCGCCCGCCCGCCCGCCTTGGCCTCTCAAAGTGTTGGCATTACAGGCATGAGCCATGGCGCCCGGCCTCTTTTTCTTTCTCTCTTTCTTTCTTTCTTTTTTTTTTTTTTTTTGAGATGGAGTATCCCTCTATCGCCCAGGCTGGAGTGCAGTGGCACGATCTCGCTCACTGCAACCTCGGCCTCCCGGATTAAAGCCATTTTCTTGCCTCGGCCTCCCGGATTAAAGCCATTCTCTTGCCGCAGCCTCGCCAGCAGCTGGAACTACAGGTGCCCAACACCACGCCCGGTTAATTTTTTGTATTTTTAGTGGAGACGGGTTTCAGGGTTTCACTGAGGAAAGAGACCCAAGCATCTAAGATCACCTCCCCCTTGACTTCCACACTGCATTTCAATAGAAGAAAAGGCTGGCCGACTGGTGCCTCCTAAATCACCTTCCTGTAGATAGCAGGCCTAGTATGGGGGAATCTCTCCGGAAGGCAGTGTTTTTACTTAAACAAGATCAAATCCCCACCCAACTCCTCCTCTATCGACCAAGACCTTTTCACATGTAATTTCTAAAACCGTAAATCCAAGACCCTTTCACGTGTAATATCTAGAGTTGTAAGCCTATATAAAGGCAAAGCTTCTCTTTTTTAGGCGAGCTTGGCTGTTAGACAAACATGTCGCCTTGCTCTCGGCCCTGTTTCTTGAGGCCGCTCCTGCTTCGTCACCATGTTGGCCAGGCTGGCTGGTCTCGAACTCCTGACCTCAGGTGATCCACCCACCTGGACCTTACCAGAGTGCTGGGATTAGAGGCGTGAGTCACTGCGCCCGGCTGATTTCTTGACTGTTACTACACGTCAGACACCGTAACATACCCTTTCTGTGTATCATCTCATTTTTACCCCGGTTTTACAGAAGAGGAAACTGAGGCACACTGAGGATAAGGTCAAGTGCCCGAAGTCCCATAGCTGCCTAGTGATAGGATCCAAGCCCAGCGTCTGAGTCCTTCCAGGTACCTGCAAACGGGAACGAATACGGCGCGGCCAGAGGGGCCGACAAGCGAGGGCAGCCGTGGGCACCCCACGCCCTGGGAGTGAGGCTGCAAGGGACAACCTCCCCCCCACCCGCCACAGGCTCGCCCTGCAAATAGTTGCGGGTCGAGGGCGCGAAGGCAGCAGGATGCAGCGATAGACTTGGACTAGGTGGTCCAGGCTCTACTTCCAAGTGGGCCATTGACAGGCTGGGCGGCCCTCAGCACAAAATGACCAGGCTGGATGCTCCAGGGTTTCCCAACATTAACCACTCAGGAGAATCACCTGGGGTGCTCCTTAATAAGAGATTCCAAGCCCCTCTTCCAGAGAGTGAAGTCACTGGGATTTGGCTGGGCCCGGCCAGGTGTTGCTAATAATCAGACAAGTTTATAAAACCCTGCGCGTGCAGGTGACCTCCTGGGTCCTTCCAGGAGTGTACTCTTTAAAAGATGATTTTCATATTAAAATAATTTCTTTTAACTCAGTGAAATAGCGCGTTTTCACTGTCCACAACCAAGCCACTGAAGGCCCCAGAACACTTCGCTCTCAAAAGGTCACGTGAGGCGGGCTTGGTGGCTCACGCCTGTAATCCCAGGACTTTGGGAGGCCGAGGCCGCGGATTGCTTGAGCCCAGGAATTTTGGACAAGCCTGGCCAACATGGAGAAACCCGGTCTCTACTAAAAATACAAAAATTAGCTGGGCATGGAGGTCCCCGCCTGTAATCCCAGCTACTCCGGAGGCTGAGGCGCGAGGATGGCTTGAGCCCGTGAGGTGGAGGTTGCAGTGGGCCAAAATCGCGCCATTTGCACTCTCTAGCCTGGGAGACAGAATCTGTCTCCCCACCCCACTCCCCACCAAAAAAAAAAAAAAAAAAAAAAAAAAGTCACGTGAGCCGGGGTCACCGGCGGCGTCCAGTAACCCACCGAGCTTCGGAAAACCTAGAGGGGCGCAGGCCACCCCGCCCCGCCCCGCGACTACAAATCCCATCGCGCCCTGCGCTCGAGCACACTACGCCAGAGCAAGATGGCCGACGCGGCGGCCACAGCTGGGGCGGGCGGCTCCGGAACGGTAAGGGCAGGAGGCGCGGGCCGGAGCCGAGAGAGTTTGGGTATTCTGAAGCTTTCCCCTAGACCGAGCCACAAGCTAATCCCCAGAAATCCAGGCCCACCATGAGGTCCTATTGGCGGAGGGTCTTTCAGGCCTATGCACCCCCCTCCCTGGCACTTGGCTGCGGCCTCCGGAGTTGGCGGACCTGTGTCTTGATTGGCTCGTTTGCTGTTGGGGGGTTGGGAACCCGGAATACCCCTTGATTGGTCTGAAGATGCTGTTTTCGCTTTCTTATTGGCCGGCCGAAGTTGAAAGGGATTCCCTTTTCAAAATATTTAGCTTTCTTACTTTTTCGTGCTGTTATCTTTTGCCCTCCTCTCCTCGCCGTCACATCTTATTATGTTTTTATTTTACCTCTCAATGAAATGGTGTGAAGATGGGGGGCACAAGAGAGGGATCCTGTTTTTTTCTGGGGGACAGATCTATTCATCCCATCATTCGTGTTTCTTCAGCTATATATTCTAATAATCTGCTAAAGTAGAAGGTAAAAGACCTGCTATTTTATCTTATTGGGACCGTACGTTTTAGGTCAGAAAAGTAGTCTCTATTTTAAGCACCTTGGGTGCTCAATTATTACTCAGTTGGCCAAGATCTATAAATTTAAACGTTAAGCACCGATTTTTAAAAGTATTTCGTAAAAGAACTTTTGCTTGCCATTGACCATGTGTGAACTCTGTGATTGCATCTTTCTCCTGGATGAAAATCTCTCTGGGCTGCTGATTCACAGAGATCGGGAAGTAAACAGTCCACTAACCCTGCCGATAACTATCATCTGGCCCGGAGGAGAACCCTGCAAGTGGTTGTGAGCTCCTTGCTGACAGAGGCCGGGTTTGAAAGTGCCGAGAAAGCATCCGTGGAAACATTGACAGAGATGCTGCAGAGCTGTGAGTCTGTGGAAACATTAGCCCTTTTTCCAGTCAACGCCAACATCAGTTTTGTGCCCTGCTTTATGATCGTGTTTGAGAGGATTTAAGAAAAAGATCAACTTTTTTCTTAAGAGGGGAGAAAAAAAATTTTTTTAATGTAAAAAGTTGAAAAAAGAAAAAAAGCATAATGGGCCTGGCTGGGAGATCACACCTGTAATCTCCCAGCACTTTGGGAGGCCAAGGCAGGTGCATCACCTGAGGTCAGGAGTTCAAGACCAGCCTGGCCAACATAGTGAAACCCCGTCTCTAATAAAAAATTAAAAATTAGCTGGCCATGGTGGTGGGTGCCTTAATTCCAGCTACTCGGGAGACTAAGGCAGGAGAATCACTTGAATCTGGGAGGCGGAGGTTGCAGTGAGCCGAGATTATGGCGCTGCACTCCAGCCTGGTAATAGAGCAAGACTCCATCTCCAAAAACAACAACAAAAGAAAGAAAGAAAGAAGAGCATAATGAAGTGACTTACAGGCTTTAGAATTAGATAGACCTGAGTGTACATCATCACTCTGTCACTATTAAGTCGCTATTAAGCTTGGGCAAGCCACTGAACCTTCTGAACCTCAATTTCCTCATTTTTGAAATGGGATAACACTTTGTACCTCATGGAGTTGTGAGTGTGAGATGTATATATAAAACATTCAATGCTGGGGAGATTGTAAGCTCTGAGTGAGTTATGGGTGCCCTTAAAGACTTTTGTTGGGCAGTTAGGACTAATTCCTCATGCAATAGATATTATCACATTATGTAATCAAATGCTGGATTATGTAATACAAAGAAAAAGCCACTTTTTTTTTTTTTTTTTTTTTTTTTTTGAGACGGAGTCTGTTGCCCAGGCTGGGGCACAGTGGCACAATCTTAGTTCACTATAGCCTCCCCCTCCTGGGTTCAAGCAGTTCTCCTGCCTCAGCCTCCTGAGTAGCTGGGATCACAGGTGTGATCCACCACGCCCAACTCATTTTTGTATTTTTAGTAAAGATGGGGTTTCACCATGTTGGCCAGGCTGGTCTCAAACTCCTGACCTCAGGTGATCTGTCTGCCTCAGCCTCCCAAAGTGCTGGGATTACAGGCATGCGCTACCGCGCCTGGCCAAAAAGCTGCTTTTAAAAGAAATGTGTTGAGATTTAGAAGCCCAATGTGGTCTCACATAGGCTTTTCTGCATGTACAACATATTTCCCTGTTTTGAACTTTTAGAGGATGGGCTAGAATGAGGGATGGAAGTATTTACGGTGTTTCTTAGGGATCAACAACCATGAAAGGAAGTAGGAGAAAGGTTTGGGCAGAGGGAGATGTGGAGTGCAGTGCAGGCCCAACAAAGAATGGACAACTCAGCCAGGACCCCTGGAGCATTATTGCCCATCAAGCTGAAAGGGCTCTGCCTTTATACTCAGGATTCGATCAAACACTGACGTGGGCTACCCCAGGAAAGGTGATCTTGGGCAAGGTGGCTCTCTGCAGCTGATGTCTGGCACTTTTACATACCAAATGTTTTCCTAAAGCAGTGATCTTAAACATTTTGTCCTCAGAACTCCTATATTTATTTATTCTTTTAGAGATGGGGTCTTGCTATGTTGCCCAGGCTGGCCTCAAACTTCTGGGCCCAAGCCTCCCACGTAGCTGTTACTACAGGCACGTGCTACTACGCCCAGCTCTCAGAATCCTTTTATATTAATAAATATTGAGGACCCCAAGTAGCTTTTGTATATGTGTATTTGCTACGTTAGAAAATAAATTTTGAAAATAAGAATGTACAATCACATATTCTGTTATTCATCAGACCCATGATGTCATCAAAAGTCATACAGACTCAGGAAAACTACATGAGAGAATGAGAGTAAAAAAGTCAAATAGGCTGGGTGCGGTGGCTCACCCCTGTAATCCGAGCACTTTGGGAGGCTGAGGCAGGGGATCACGAGGTCAAGAGATCGAGACCATCCTGGCCACCATGGTGAAATCCTGTCTCTACTAAAATACAAAAAATTAGCCAGGCGTGGTGGCATGCGCCTGTAGTCCTGTCACTCCAGAGGCTGAGGCAGGGGAATCGATTGAACTCGGGAGGCAGAGGTTGCAGTGAGCCAAGATCACGCCACTGCACTCCAGCCTGGGGACAGTAAGACTCCGTCTAAAAAAAAAAAGTCAAATAATGAGTTCATTTTATTATGAAAATAGCTCTGACCTGTGGACTTCAGGAAATATTTTGGGGCCTACAACGGGTTCCCAGGCTACCACTTTTTGAACTTTGTCCTAAAAGAATGAATTAGTCATTCTCAGGAGATAAGAATGCCGTTCTTGGAACAATCCTGGAATTTGGAGTTTAAAAGTTATGTCAAGAGGCTGATATCAGTGATTTGCTCAGGGTAGCTGGGGAATTGGTGGTAGGTCTTCTTTTAGACACCCTTACCTGCCAGCCACCACTGGCTTTTATTTTCTGAGCCACTGGGTCCCTAGAGCAGGAGCTCCTTACCTTTTGGGCCCATTTGTGCATTTGATACAATCTGTGGACCCATTCCCCAAAAAATACATTTTTTGTGTATAACATTCAACACAGTTTCAGAATATCTGTGAAACCTCCCATCCACCTTGGACACTCATTCACGGAGCCCAGCTTCAAAAACTCCATCTTAGAAACCTTCTTTTCCCCAAAGGACTTTAACATGACTATTAAATAGAGGTTCAGCTTCAGGCAGAAGAAACAAAAATTGCCCCTCAGAGGGTAAGACCTTTTTATGTGTGTGGTAGTGAGATAT